GGTGGGAATGGTGGCGGCGGAAACGGTGGCGGTGGCAATGGTGGCGGCGGCAACGGTGGGGGCGGAAACAGCACCCAGTGCCCTCTGGACGCGCTGAAGCTGGGGGTGTGCGCGAACGTGCTCGGGCTGCTGAACCTTACCCTGGGGAGCCCGCCGGTGCAGCCGTGCTGCTCGCTGATCCAGGGGCTGGCGGACCTCGAGGCGGCGCTGTGCCTCTGCACGACGCTGAACCTCAACCTTCTGGGCATCAACCTGACCTTGCCCATCGCCCTCAGCCTCGTCCTCAACAACTGCGGCAAGAACGTCCCCTCCGGCTTCCAGTGCCCCAACTGAGCCGGCCGGACCCTGCATCCGCCATACCTCATGCACGCACGCATGCATGCATGACTGGCTATTTGAAGTACCACTACGTACTTGTTGTGTGCTTTAATTTCTTAATCATCTGCTGGTTTTTATGTGTGGCTGGATTTCGATTGCGGAGAAACTACGTACTACTTCTCCAGGTTCTACGTACGTACAAGCACGCACTGTTACCTGCGTGCGTAAGGATTTCGTTGTGTGTGTGTGCATGATGTGTTGTCGTAATCGTCACATGTTTGTGATGAGTTGGTTATTGCCAGAGTGCTCATGATGTACCGCTATCTCCGACTAAATAAAAGATTTGCTATTTTCCATTATTACTATATACTACATTTGCAAGTTTTACTATTTTTTGCACTGTGCTTGAATTGAAATTGTATATATGCATGTAGTCTGTTTGAATGGTCTCATTCTCGTGATGCTATACTTTGGTACTGGCATTGCACTATTTGTATCGACTTCCCTACTTTTGTAACTTTGCGAGAGGAGAAAAAGAGCACTTGTATGATAGCTGGCAACCCTAGCATGCTACGTGATACACGTCGCCGATTATCGCTTTATTAATTTAAAGTCGAGCTCATTTCCAGCCATTCCTCTAAGCAAACGATATTGAGAACCTTATTGAACTGGAAAACTAATTCTACCACACACAGCAGTACACACAACTTAACAAACTAATTGATCATTTCTTCCCGTCCCGAGTCAGATAACAGTTAACACTAACTTCCCGTTACTTCCATAAGGAAACAACCATTAATAAGCTAGTTCAGAATATACTGACACAGTGAACCTCATCTTGGAATTATTAAATAAATCCCTAGTTCAGTGAAGGATTACTAGTAGTTACTAGATAGCTAGACAACTGTCCCTCTGTTGTAAATTAGATTACTTTGAGAAAACAGATGGGATCAACACTTTCAAACTTTAATTATCAACATCAAATCGAGTTTCGTCAAATAAACAAAAAAAATCAGGTTCCATGACTCTGTAATTTTACAAATTGTAGTGGCACATTCGTGTAAACATAACTGTAGAGTTACCCCTTGGAAACTGCGGCAATGTCCAAAATGTCATATATTTTAAAAACATAAAAAAATAGTTTAGAAAGAGTGTGATACTTAGTTTTTGCTTTAGATAAACAATTATTTTAGGGAATGATGTGGTTTGCTCAACTTAGAATAATTATTTCTCTTTCAACCGCTCCTAGCCATATGATCAATATTGTGTCATCCCAACTACACTTGTATATATAGTATAATTGAACAGTTCTCAACGGTGACCTGGAAATAGCAAAAACAGTTGCCACCCAGCTTATACCATTGAAATATCATACACTATTTGGTACTTCTATACTCCTAGGTGCCTATCACTGATCGACACTCTTTCCGAAATAAATACCGATAGCTTCAAAGGCAAAATCTCACCATAAAAGTCATGTGTGAGGTATTGCCAGTATTCTCTAATCCAGAAACCTTAGCGTAGAAGTCTTGAAATTCAAATATAGTACAAATACATAAATGAAATAATATCGCTCGTCAGAAAAAATCCAATCCAAACTCAAATACAACTCAAGAAACAAAAAGGACAAACCTAGCTATACTCGCAAAAAAATAAAGTAGCTAGTTCAAATTCGGCTCATTAACATGGCTATCAACATTGATTATTATTTTTATTTCTTGAGCTATGTATTCAGGTTGATGTTTGTTTTGAATTTTTTTTACAATTATTTTGCAACATTTTAATAGTCCAAAAATTGTGGGCGCACAGGGATAAGTTCTTCCTGGGTCGAATTACTGATCGACAGCTGGCCTCCTTTATCATTATTCTTTAGCGAGTAATTCCGAAGGTGATGTGACTATTCACTCGCTACTTCTCTAGCTTTTTGTCGCATGCAGAAAGCGGAATATTTGCCTTGTCGATCATCAGAGCAGGATATTTGTCGTCCGCGTATACTTGAATCGGCTCAAGGATAATCCAAACTACTGGCAAGTACCAACCGCTGTCATCTCCAGGTGCGAAGTACTTCCTACCTAACCTGACTAGCTGTGTGAACATGCACATGCATGCATACATGTGACAGAGTGACAGAGTGACAGATGAGACAGAGACCGTGATCTTTTCTTTACTGCTTAAGAGCGACTCCAACAGGCCGATCCAAATGGACGGCGATTTCATCCGCTTTTCTTCGTTTGGCTCGGCCAGACGAACAGGATGCCCGCTTTCGCATTTGGGTTGGCGCGTGCGCCCAACGCTGGCCTGAGACCCATTTTGACGGCGCCAAAAAAAATGAATGTATGTATATTAAAAAACAACATTAATTAAACATTAAAGCCGGCCATGAAGGCCGGCGAAAGTCCACGCGTCCACATTTACATTTAAAAATAAATAAAAACAGCCTAAACTACGAGGCGGCGCGCTGCCCTAGGCGGCGGCGTCGTCGTCCTCGGGGTCCGTGAGGTCGATGAGTGTCGGCGCCGGCCTGGCCCAGGCGAACGTCGTGTTCCAGAGCGCCGTCATGTCGGGCTGTGCCGGCGCAGGCAGTGCCGGGGCGGGGGTGTGCGGCTGCCTGTGCAGCCGCGGCCTGGCGCGCCTCCTCCTCGGCCTCGCGCTGCTCCTCCTCGAGGTCGCGTTCGAGCATCTCCTCGTACTCGCCGCGACGACGCTCCTCTGCCAACCGGCGCAGGCGCCACATCTCGAGGTACGCCTGCTCCTGCGCCGGCGTCGTCCCCAGCCAAACCGGTGGCGCGGACACCCACTCACGCACCACTCCCCTCTAGGAGAAGCGTGCGATGGGCTTGGGCTCGGGCTCCGGCTTGATGGGGGACGGCGGGGCCAACGGCGGCACCACGCTGTCGCCCGCCGCGGAGAGGGCAAGAGCCTGCGCCATTGCCGCCTCGAACCGAGCCTCCTCGTAACGCCTTCGCCGCCTTCGCTCTGCGCCGCTCGTCCTCCTCACTCTCCCGGTAGACGGCCGCAAGGGCCGCCTTGTAGGCATCCTCCGCCGCCTGGTCCTCCTCGCGGACGACGAGCCCCGGTGGCGGCGACCTCCGGTCGACCTCGCGCACGCCCCATCGCCTCGCCTCCTCGTGCTCGAAGGCGAACCACCTCGCCCAGTTGGGCGAGTCGGTTGCGTAGGCCTGGTCGTGGCGCTGCTCCGGCGTCAGCAGCGCCCGCAGGCGCCGCACCTCCTCCGCGTGAACACGAGCCGTCCGCGGCGCCGCCGGCACTGGGATCCTATCTGGATCCAGATGCCAGTCGTGCGACAGCATCACGTCCGGATACGGCAAAGGCTGGCGGTGCTGCCAGTGCCACTCTGCCTGGTGCACTGGCACGTTCACGCGCTGCCTCTGCCGACGAGGCACCGGCGCCGGCGGAGGTGGGAGGAACTCTGAGGGGAAAGGGGTGGCGGGGGACTTGCCCTTGGCCTTGCTGCCGCTGGCGCCGGAGAAGAGGCCCATCTCGCTGTGGTTGTGGTGGCTAGGGTTTGCGGCGACGAGGGAGCAAAGGTGGGCAGATGTGGACGGCGAGTTTGGATGAGGATGGCCCCGCCGCATGGTCGGCTTAAAAAAGGACGAGCGCTGTCGCTGACGCGTGGGCCCATCGTCATAAATTAAGCTGACCGCGTGGGCAGCGAGTAGTTGGACGACCGCCATGTGGTGACGCGGCGGCTGCGAGAAGGCGCGCGAAGCGTCCGTTCGGCGTCCGCGCCGACGCATTTGGGGTGCAAATTTGGGCCGCAAATGCGTCGGCGCATTGGGCCGCCACTTTTGTCCGTGCCGACCCAAACGGACGCAGGCGGACGAAATGGGTCGGCCCTTTGGAGTTGCTCTAATAGTCTAGTCCCCAGGCGATCATAATACCTCGTACGCCATGTGTCCCTTGCGCATGCGCAAATAAGGGCATTTTCAACGGCAACCCACAAATTTTATCCGTGGATGGAGGAACCAGTCCACTGAAATAAATACAGGAGGCCGTCATCCAACGCTGGCAGCATATATTTCAAACTCTTTTTAACAAACCGGATAAAATTCATGCGAACTCAGACGGATTTCATATATACATGACGAATTTCATACAAACCTGATGAAAATGGTTACATTTTGGACATATTTTAACTAACAAGATATAACTAGTGCACGTACAGTCGCGTGGAGTTCCACTCCCACGACGCGGATACACTAGACTAGTCTTTGGCCGAACGCGGCGGATCAGTTTGTCTTCCCTATGTCCAGTAGCCCGCTAACCGGACTACCCGGAGTCCCGAAGGCATATTCTTCTCCCGTATCTTCCCTATGCCCGGGTACGCCGCTCATCGGAGTGGCAAAGAGAGTGCTTCAGTTGGAGGGAAAGGTGCTTCCGTGGAGCCCAGACGGGTGCTTACAGGTCACCCGCTGTACAAGCCGAGACACGCCAGCGGTGGCCTCCATGGAATACAAGCCGCGGCGGCCTCCCGTGTTCTACTTCTCCCGATGATGGAGGCGGGCGCGAACGTGATGGCCGCCACCTCATCAACATCCGCGTAGCCGGCTTCTTTTCCTGTGTGCATGGCGCGGCTACGCATGCGTCGACAGCGGATGGCGCGGTCGCAGGCACTGGAGGCGGCGATGCTCGTGTTGCTGTGCGATCCCCACCATGCCGAGATGGAGCAACTCGCCACTCCTCTGCGAGCTGGCTTTGAGTGGTGAGTTATTGAACCACGCACCGGCTTGGGGTGCCAATTGGCTCCGTCGGGCTAGGTGAGGTAGGAGGAGCAGCGAGCTGCCTCGCTCATATCCAGAAGGCTCGTTGAGCCACCCAGCCGGCTTTTATGCAGGAGAACTGCTCTCCCGGCTCGTCGGATGCCATCAAAAGAGTGGAGAAATTGGTGGAAGGAGGAGATGGGGAGCGGCGGAGTGCTGCGATTCTTTCCCTGCATCTGGCCTCATTTAAATAGAGGATGGACGCAAGGAGCTTGGTCGGCATTGTGTTTAATGTTGGCCCGTTCGTGAACGGACATGTGGCTGGAGTTGGTTCCTTGGCTTCCATGGGAGTTTAATGAAGGCGTTTGAATGCAGTGAGGAGGCGTGTTCAGGCGGGCGTAAAGCGTGCGGTGTGCCGCTTCAATGGCAGAGGCAGTGAGAGGTCGCGTCTACCCAAAGCCGCCTCCAATGTGGAGCGGCATGCTCTACACCGGCAAGAATGTGGTGTCGGGGAACGCAGTATTTCAAAAAAAATCCTACGATCACGCAAGATCTATCTAGGAGATGCATAGCAATGAGAGAGGGAGAGTGTGTCCACGTACCCTCGTAGACCGAAAGCGGAAGCGTTATGTTAACGCGGTTGATGTAGTTGAACGTCTTCGCGATCCAACCGATCAAGTACCGAACGTACGACACCTCCAAGTTCAGCACACGTTCAGCTCGATGACATCCCTCGAACTCTTGATCCAGCAGAGGGTCGAGGGAGAGTTACGTCAGCACGACGGCGTGGCGACGG